CACTCAAAGAGACCAGGAAGGAGTTGAAGATATGCAATATAATAGTGATATAGTAATATCAGTGTTGTAGGATAGTGTCAATTATGAATTTCCAATAAGTGAGCACAGAGTAAAAACAAGCACTGTAGAAGGGAAAAGCACAGGAAAAAAATGTCTTGCGTTCTTTTCAGGAAGAAACAAGGAAAAGATAGATAAGAAAAATAAGCTATGAGTAGCTTTAGAAAGATTAGCTAGTGGAGTTACACGAAGAAAGGAATCTTCTCTAAAGAACTGAAAAAGTCAGAGCCAGTGATTTTCCTGTTTGAAGCTGAACAGAGGCATAATGGGGACCAGACAGTACCCAGTAGAGGGTCCTAGGTCTCTTGCAGGGCAGGTGAATTTCCCAAAGGACAGAATGGATGGGTAGACCCAGTGGTGCTGGAATAATTTTTATAATGGAGGTGTTGAGAGCACTGAACCACAATATAAACCCAATGTATATAATGGAAACCAATTCAAGCCAGGGATTACAGCAGCATCCCCAGGTCCTCTAGTACTAGCACTTACAGATAGGACCACAAGCTTGGCCTAGTCAGTGAACAAAGGAGCAATCTAGCCCCATCCAAACCAATTTAGCAGCAGAGGAGAAAAAACTGTAGTTTGAGAGAGAAAAGCTGCACTTGGAAGCCAAGCACCTTGCTGTTCCAAGAGACCAGAGATGAGGACAGGGTTCAGCTGGCCCTGCAACCATAACGCCAACTGATTCAAGATTTTTTTTTACTGTCCCAATTAATGGGCTCAACCTAGACCATTTCAGAATCCACAGATTTGTATACTACATCACTATTAAGCAGCTAGGTTGGAAAGTGTCTCTAAGTTTCGAACTGAAACAAAGTAGGTAATTGAATATTGTTTATTTCACTAACAATTACAACACAACTTTCAGGCCAGTACATGTTCCTTCAAATAAGCAACTGAAGGGAGAACCCCTACGTAAGCCCCTAAGATTTCTCTGTTGTTGCAGTCCCTCAGCTACAGTAATGTGTATTCTTTTGACCACCAAGCTTCTATGGACATCTCTCATTTCTTATTAATTCAGAAGGGTCAAGATTAAGAAAAGCTCTAGGATTCTCTGATTCTCTCAAATGACTGGCAGACTCCCTCTGTTAAATGAAGCTGAAGAACTACTACTATGCTTTGTGTCAAAATTTAATCCCTCAAAAGATAAAGAACAGCAAGCTTTTTCCTTCAGAAGCAAAGTTTATACTAGGCAAAAACTAAGGGAAAACTATTTGAATGTTTGTCTTTGTGTTGTTGTTGTAGCTAATAAACTTTTTGTAAAAGTAGTGGCTCATAATTGACCATCGACTGACTTACACCAGAGCTAAATTTCATCCACTATGCTGTCATTGTTAAGTTTTGAGCTCAGAACTGCAGATCTCTCAGAAAGTAACCTCTGTAGTTTCAGAAGGTACTCATTTAAAATCCTTCAGACATGCTCTCATGCTGTTTACATTAGACTGTTTCTTTATGGTGAAGGGGAATAGGTTTTTTCCAACCTCAAATTAGTAAGTTACCTAGAACCCCAACAGCTTTTAATTAAAACAGCACATAGATAGTTGAAATGTTATTAGTTTATAACAATATAAAAACTCAACCAATCCAATTTTGGTAGCACAATTTGATAGCTATGTAGACTTCAGCACGTGGATCTCCTCTTCTGATTAAACAAACACCCAGTAAGTTCCACTTCCACTTCCACTTCAGTCTGAGTGGGGTATTATAGAACTTTATTACTTAGAGGGAAAATGAAGACTCTTAACAAAAATTTAAAAAAAATCAAATTCCTTTTCTTTGTGAGGTGTGCAAAATGTATTGCATCCATTTGTTCAAAATCTCTCATGCAGCAGCAAACATCTTCATTGTAATAGCTTTCTTTTTCAGCAATAGATAAGCTTTTATCCTTAGTCTTCCACTAGCAAATTAATATTCAGCATAAACAATGAACACATTGCATGGCCTTTGAACCCAGTGGTTGCTAGGAGGCCTGAAGAAACTCTGGATTACAACAGATTAGATAGCCAGCACTAAGAGATTATTCAACAGTAAAATGCGAGATTTTTCTAGATTTATATATTTTTAATTTATTCTCCACTGATCTGACAATCTCTGTGAGGGCTTCCCCATATACACTTCATCCATATTTGCAATAACTGCCATAGGTTACTGGCAGTTTGCCCTGGAGGTACTGAAAAGGCTAATACTAAAAATCAATACTGCTTACTATAATTCAAATTTCTAAATTGGTTCTCATTCATTATTAATGAAAAGACTGTTTAAAAATGGTGCACTGTCAGTTCTCTAGTAAGGAGCCTACATTTCTCCCTTTATAATACACTAGATGCCATTTAGAGACTGCATTTTTCCAAAGCTTTACTTTTAACACAATTTCTTCATAACACAATTTCTTGTATTGTTTAAAGCAATAATGTTTATGTACTGAATTTTCCACAAACAATTCCGAGTTATACAGCATTTAAGATCTGTAGTGCCTCATCAAGAGTTATTTTCTCACTTGCTTATCTCTATGTTATATCCCTGATCTAAAGCAATCAAGCCAAAAAATAAGCTTTGTCTTTCCTTCCCCTCCCCCCCAAACAATGCAGCATTTAATTAAAAAGAACCACAACAATAGTAATGGTGATTAGGTTAAATGACTGGACAAATAGAATGCAGAAGTCTGAAAATTGTGTGTGTTCCGGACACTTTCTCCTGTACAACATTTTGGGTGTATTTGTAGTCATAGTCACAACTTCTATGCAAGAAGACTTCCTATGGATTTCCTGTGAGGAAGAGAGATTAGTTTAAATAGCTAGAAGTGCTTAGACAAAGTACTCATTCCTCTCAAACCTAATATCTGGAAGGGCACTGGATGGGACCCTTTTTTTTTCTTTTTTCTTTTTTTAAAAACACACAGAAAAAAGCATGCCACTCACAAAAATGCAACAATTACATTTCCAGCTAATTTCCTGCCAATTTAATTAAAAAAAAAGAAAATAATCTGGTTTTTGTTTCCATTTTGTTATACCTATAACAACTTTAGTAGGTTACTCATACTAGATGACACCTACTTCCTCCACTGGTGTGCATTAACATTAAAAATCAGACTCCTGTATGTTCACAGCTGTAACATCACGTTGTGGGATCAACCCACTCTAAAATACAGATAGCTACACATCTGATCTTAAGGAGGACTCAAATTTGATCATAAGAAATCTGTCAAGATAATGCTTCTATGATAATGCTGTTTCCAAGACAAATGAATCTTTGTTGTGTCCTTAAAACAAAACAACTCCCACACAACCAACTGTTCAGAAACACTACTGAAAGCTTCTTCAACATCAGAATTGATTGCCATATTAAAAGAAAAGCTTAAAAGTGATGTCTGAGCCAAAACTGACATGGTGCATCGCAAACTAAGAATATCAGAAAAGTAATAAAATAACTCTTCAGATTTTAGAATTACAAGCTGAAGTCAGATCTGCTTTCAGACTCTTTCCTAAATTTGCTGCACCATCACCACCCAAAAATATACCACGGTAGCTTCCTTCAGCTGCTTAAGTATAAGTTATTATACTTGCTATTTCCCCTAAATATGAGCCATCCCATGAAAGAAAAAATATTATTGTCAAAACAGCACAATATCCATATGTAGGCAGATTTGCAATATAATGCACATTATTTCGTTTACATTTGGGGGCTAATTACACAAGAGTCATGAGACATTTTTAAAATATGAGAACCCACTCCTGGCTAAAGAGCCATGTTTATTAGGGAGAGCAATAGTAAAGTATGAATGTAACTAAAAACCACAAGCGGTTGGTTTAGCCTTTCAAGCATTTATGGGTTTGGAAATGTTTTCAACTGTACATGGTAAATACCTTCATTTTCCCTCTCCCTCCTATTTTTTCCCTTTTAAAGGAATCTGCCTACTCAACCTATACTAAACCTTACAGGAAAAATGTGCCTTCATGATGAATTGATATTTGACATCACAGTAATGAAATGTTCTGTCTGATCTTCACAATAACCAAGCAGTAGAACAACAAAGAAGGTTTCCAGGATTCTTTACCCCTCCCCCCAGCATTCTCCCAAGTATTCGTCTTGTATTTCTCGAATTTCTGAATTACATGGCTGGTACGATACATTTAAAAAGGAATAAGCTTTCATTTAGAAATACTGAAGCTTTTTTCATTTATATGAAAAGTTCTAATTTGAAGCATAAATCTTTCCTCTCATTTTTGCCTCTCTATTCCTACAATTTGTGCTTCCTTTTTGCCACGCACAAACATTTTGATGCAGGGTCCATTATTTCCATATAACCTATGTTTAAAACGATGAATAAACATGTGTGCATGCGCATGCACACACACACACACACAGACAGATTTTATACACAAATACTGTATTTATATTCATTATCACTACAAATCCACTTCTCTGTATAGAATTATGCTTCTGAAATCCGACAAGCTTGGAACAGGGCAAGAGCATTCAGAATTACAGGTGACACTTCTTTAGAAAATGCACTATAGATACGCCTCCACAGAGATAATTATACTTAACTAGATGGAAAGGGAATTTTTGGTTTGGTAGCAAATATTCAGCACATACTTATTCATAAAGCAGAAGAGCAAAGTGACTGCTCTGATCATGAAACCCAAGTTATTTTTTACCTATCCTCAGCTGAAAATATAGATATGAATATTATTTCTTTTCATTTATTTTATTTTTACTAATAGATTTTAAACACCATATTGAAAGGGCCCTGCTGTGAATCTTGCTGAGGTACAAAATGGTGGATGTCGGGGTTTTTCTTTTTTTTTTTTTTTTTTGCATTATTCATAACAACTTATGCTATCAGTCATAGGATACCCTTTTACCTATCAACACAGTATTAGCGAGCCAAATAAACACCCAACATTGAGCCTTGTAATAAGCACAAAAATGCTGTTACAAACCTGATGTCATGTAGCCCCGTGATGCCTGGGCAATAAAAGCTGGTGGGAAGTGTTTGTGCAGTCGGTAGTCCTTTTCACTGCGGGACCTCATGCGGTCTGAGGCCCGGTCAGAGAAATCTGAACTAGGCCAGGCTCGCCGTAAGGTTGTACTCCGTGTCTTCTTCATTTTGAGGCTACCTGCAGTCTAATCCTCCCGCAGCAGTGGCATGAGTCAGGCCTCACAGCGTGCTTGCGATGCTTCGTTTCATTAGTCTGCTACAGGCACAGCTTGGGTAGAATCTGCAAACATTTTGCCACTACCTCTTGTATGAAGCAAACTGCAGGTCTGTTCCTTCTCTCCCCCCCCCCTTCGAATGATCCAATTTTACACACGTCCCACAATGCATTACACTTCATTTGCAATCAGTCCAGCTTATAGCTTCCAGATTCATGTGGAGGAAAGGCACATTATGTGGCTTCTTAAGCAAGGGGGGGGGAAAGGGTAGGGTATTGCAGCATGAAAAGCTCTGGGATCCCAAACAATAGCCCGATTCAGCATAGGAGTGCTTAGCCAAGTGTGAGCCAGAACAAAAAAGACCCAAACAAATTACGAAAGCCCCACTGCCTTTGGTTTTGACCCGAAACACAGAGCACCCAGGAACTGTAAGAAGCACTGTCAAATCTCCAGCATCACAGAATTAGAATGACCCTTTGATAACAGTGAAAGTCATTTTTCTTCACTTATCAGGATCCAAGCCAAGAATCAATAGAAGCAGCCTAAGCCATTGCTGCAATAATCATTCGATCAATCTTCCTGTTAGCAGCACCCACCGCTTATCCATACACACTGGATGTGCATGTGTCTCATTCACACATCTAGCATATATCACCTACAGGAAACAGCAAATGTATTCTTGTAGAATCCAGGAGAAACAGATGGTCATAATGGCTGAGGCTTCTCTGTCCTTTGCCCTCTTGCAGCAGTTTGCCAGTTGTTTCTTTTGTGTGTGCAGTTATTTGTTTTAATGGATGTATGTATATTCCTCTCTAATACACAAGCTCCTGCAGGCTTGGGAGGCTAGACTGCAAAAAATCCAAACATTTGTTCTCAGTGAGTCCACCGTGTATAGTCTGCTCAAGTTGCCACAGCTCCTCCGCTGAACAGTTCTCCGCCTTTGAAAACAGTGAATAGCTATTGAAGGGCAGGAAACAAGGCAGCCACCCAGTCTCATGCTAATCAAGAAGCTGTCTTAAGTTAGATGCACTGATCCTGTCAGGGCTTCACATTTTAATGTGAAACACTCTTGAGTTCATTCAAACCTTGGCATATGCCCCAGCCTATAATCAGCTTGCATATATTTACATACAAAGTTATGTGTTTTTAGGATAGTCCAAAAATAAAAAATAAAGGGAAGGAAAGGAAAGAAAATCTTTTGTTTGGAAAGAATATTTGCTGCAGAACTTCTCCATCTGCACAAACCCAACGGATTGCAAGTCAAAATGAGGATAGCAAGGATTAATTCATCTGACAGCTGCAAACACATTCCATCACACAGGAATCAAGCTGTCTTGAAACTATATGGAAACAGCTACTTTGCTCTCACTCTCTTCTCTAGTCTTAACTGCTACCAACTGGCTAAGCAGCAGGAAGACCTGCAACCTCTTTAAAAATCAAGGTTCAATACAGCTGTTTCTAGTCCCACAGCCAATCATTTTAGAACAACAGTGCATGTAGTGGGGGCAGACAGGGAAGCAGATACATTTCAGCTTAAGCTACAAGTCTGAAAACACCCAAGTTGCTGCCACATAAAAGTTAAAACTCAGTTGAGTAAGTGTTGTGGTCTTCTGTGCTGTTCCCTTTTTAGCTATTATTTTCAGCTTCTCTGGTTTAACTAAACTTCACTCTGATTACAAACGATTAATTATTATTTATTTATTAATACTTAGAATTTCCATAGTGCTTCACTTCTTCAAACTCCTCACACACAATTATGACTCTTTCTAGATTGCAAGGCCAGCAGGGGCCACTGTGACCTCTAATATGTCTCCTGTATAACAGACCACAAAAGTTCACCCAAAATAATTCCTAAAACAGATCTTTTAAGAAAAATATCCAATCTTGATTTAAAGCCTGGACGTGATGGAGAATCCACCACAACTCTTGGGAAATTGTTCTAGTGGTTAATTGCCTTCATTGTTAAAAGTTACACCTCATTACTTCTAGCCACCAGATCATGTTATCTCTCTCACTGCTAGATTAAAGAGCCCATTTTCAAATATGTGTTTATCCGCTGTTATATTGTTCTACGTCTATATTTAAAAGAATGTTTATAAATTAATAATTCAAATAAACTGAATTCAGATGTTTCTTTTTTGCATAGAATGAAACGGGTTAATCCCTCACCAGAATTCAAATATTCATCCCACAGACATCCCCACCACCATCACACCTATAGTCTAATCAGTCTTTCAAGTTTTCTTTTCACTGCTGGGCTTGTAGGTCAAGAGAAAACTGCTTCCCGGTCCAGATGAAGAACTACACAGTGACACAGATGGATTCCAAATGATGCACCTCTCTGCTCCCCACCCCCAGTGCTGTTTCCTGTAATTTAACAAAATGATATACATTAACAATCAAAACAATGTATCAAAGAAGCAGGAAATTCTCCAGTAGTTTCCTATTCTGTAGATTACATAATATTCAACCCAAAAAAGAAATTCCTGTTATCTAAATTCCATGTGCCACCTTGAAGAAATATCCAGACTCAGATTTTCACAAAAGTATGAATTTACAGACTTCTAAAAATATATTAAACACAGAATTTCTCCTTAGCGAGGCTTTTATAATGGACAGGTTTGTAATGCGATAATGTAATGAATCTATGCTGTAATGTGAAGTTTACTATAAAAGCAGCATTTTAAAAACATTACTTACTTTAAAAAATTATTATTTCAGCTTTAATTTACTTCTTTACTATAAATTACTCTTTCATTCTAAAGCTTATTGCACATTTTCAAAGGTTGATAATTATAGGACTAACTTTGACAGCAACGCCAAGTGATTTAATAGTATTAAAATTCTAAAGGCTTGAAAAGTAAGTTAAGCAATGGGAGTCAGTAAATACAGAGTTAAAATCCCACTGCTGACCTGTGTTGCTTTGGGAAAGTCACTGCCTTTGACCAGTCACCCTACTTGGACAAAGCAAAGAAGAATTATTTGTAGTTTATATGCCCCTCTCAACGTGAGTAGGAATTACATGACTAAAACTCTACAGACAGCTTTGAAAATGAAACAGAGAGGGATTCTTTGCCATTCACTTTTATTTTCCAACCAATATATGTAAAAATTTAACAGATGGATATTCTGGTCATTTTTCTGTATTGCATACTTTTGACGCTTCTCCTTTGTGAATTCAAGTCAACATGAAAATGAAGAGCAGCAAAGATATGACCAAGAGTTTCATTTAAAAAAAAAAGCAATTAAAGAATTTTTTTTTTAAAGTACACAATTTACTAATCAGTTCACTAATTCCAGACAGGCTACCTGTTGCCCTGTGCTGCTGCCTCATATACATGGCGAGTCATAGCAAAAATCCTAGGCTGTAAAATTGAGCTAATGATGTTCCCTGAATCTACATTAGGAAAAATATGTTTAAATTTAGGTGAGGGTGAGCCAGATCACATTACCTATCATTGACAAACTCAAACTTTTTCCTAGCCTAGACAAAGGCTTATATTCAGGTCTGTTTTTTTATGGCTTCATAATAATGCAGTTCTGCACAGGAAAAACGGAGCTGCCATTCTACTGCTCCACAAAAAATAAAAGAATTGCTAGACAGGTAAAACAAACAAAAAAATAAATTAGGAAAAAGAGGCAGGCTGAAGCAAAGGTCTAAACGGAGTAAATAATGCGGGGAAATAAGACCAAGAAATAAGAGAAAGTGAAGAAGCAAAATAAGATATTGACAACCAAGAAGGACCATACAAGCAGTGAGATCCTGATACTGGCTTTCCACATAATTATTCTTAGGATGTTAAGGACTAGTCAACTATCTGAAACAAGTGCTTGTCGGACAGTCGAGTCGACTAGTCGATTCTTTCTCCCTCCTTACTGCCTCTATCAGACAGATGCAGCAAGGGAGGGGAAAGAGGGGTACTTCAAAGTGGCAGCGCCACACAGCTGGTCCCCGGATCAGCTGTGCGGCGCTGCCCCTTTGAAACACTGAGGCAGCGTTTCTAAGTGGCAACACCATGTGATGCTCGGGGTCAGCTGAGGACTCCAGATGATCCTGGGCTCCATGCGGCATTCCCGGGATCTGGAGAAATGCTGTGCAGAACCCATAATCAGCTGGGGAGTCCCCAGCTGACCCCAAGCTCCACGTGGCATTTCAAAGCAGCAACGCAGCATGGCTCCTGGGGTCAGTGGGCGACTCTGAGTTCCCCACTGACCTCAGGCTCCGTGAGGGCACTTCCTCTTTGAAATGCTCAGGAGCCCATGTTGGGAACTCTTGTACATTTCAAAGCTGGCACGCCCATGTGCAGCCTGGAGTCAGTGGGACTTCCTGCTGGCCCCGGGCTGCACATGGAGTTCCGCATTCCTCCTTTGAAATGTACAAGAACCCCAGCGGGGGCTCCTGTATATCTCAAAGGAGGAATGCGGAAGTGCCTATAGACTACTTGAGTAGTCGATGGAAATTCCATTGACTACTCGACTAATAAATTAACTGCTATTTAACATCCTTAAATTATTCCCTACTGAAAATTACTAAATTAAATTTTAGAGTTTGCCCTGAAAGAGTGGGGATATAAGGAATAGTTACATTAAACACAAAGGTGCATATACTCAAGCCACTGATATGCAGAGTATTTAATTCTAATTTTTTTCTGAGCCTGAGAAACACATGGACAGTAATTTATTGCATTTTACTTTTGTTTACTTTAAAGAGTGCACATATCTTACAAGGTAACCTGACTATTTAGTTTCCTGGTAAGTTCCATGTACAGCTGATACAGGATATTTTATGGCAATATGCATTTTATATGGTTAATATCAGATCACATCTTTTCTTCTGAATGAGTATGTGTGTTTCCATGATTACTGCTTTGGGACCCTAGCATGACATAGGCTGCATTTTTGTCCTGATATAATTTAGAGCAAATTTATATATTTGTCCCAGAATAAAAAGTCAAGTCAGATTTCTGTTCAAATAAATACACCCTCAAACAGTGTTCCCTCTAAACTGCATGGCAGCACAGCTTCACAGGTGATTTATCAGCCCCACTGAGTCAGAGGCTCAGGGTTCCCTACAGGGAGCTTGCTGAGTGGGTGGGGCTGATTAATCACCTGTGAAGCTGTGCTGCTGGGGCAGTTTACAGGGAACACTGCCTCACAAACACCAACCTCCTCTCCTCTCCCTCCTTGCTCCTGTTTTAGATTTTTGTCTGAAGCATGTTTTAGAGGCCATCTCATACTTGCAGCACCTTATCAACATGACCATCTAGGTCTTTCTCTCCCTCTTGTATTCCTTGTAGGCACAAGCTGGAAAGAGTTTTCTGACATATCTGAAAGCTTTCCTCCTTTTGAAGAAAAGAATCCGATCAAGTTTCCTCTTGATGTTGTATCTGTTTGAAGCGAAGGGTGTTAGTAGTACTACATAAAATCAAATGTATAACTTGCTGTTCAAGTTTAAGTTTTGGCTGTTTCCATTGGAGGGAAATGGGGGAAGGAGCTTCAACCAAATTTGTAATGACATTCAGCTAAGAATGGGGCTAGGGAAAATGCCCCTTGCAAATGGCATTTAAAGGATAATAGGGTTTTACTGACTTGTTCTAGTAGATATAGAGGAGAAAGACTCTGGTTCTAAATCTAGGTCCTTTCCTTACTTAAAAAAAATAAAAGGAGAAGGTACAAACCAGGTTCAAGTATAGTTGTTGTTCTTGACGGTTACTGCTGGATGCCCTTAACACGGTCGGATATCCCTGTTAAGTTGGTCGGATATCCCTGACGCATCATTAAAATGAAAGGCAGAATCAGCAGTGTACACATCACAAAGCTCCTGAAGTGTTTTGAGTTGAACAGAAGAAACCTACAGCCTTAACATCCATGTTCCCCCTTAATTTGTTTAATTACCAGAAGCAGACTATCTTCAAAGATGCTGTCTTATATATTCAAAGAGAATGACATAAAATACTTCGGCTGTATTCTATAGAAATTTTTAAATTATTGTATTTATTTTATTATTTGGTAAAAAGTATGTTGAGCAACTAGAACTACTTGTGAGTTTACTGAGAGTTAAGAAAGGTCAATAACTTGCAATAATTGTAGAAATGCTTAGATTAGGGATGTTAAATATTGGTTAATTGAATAGTCAAGTAACCTCATGAATTTTTTTCAATTGACTATTCTAAAGTCCCCAGGGGCAGGGCTGGCAGCCAGTGTGCTCCAACCTCATTCCTGAGGAGCTCCTGCCACTCTGCGTTGCTGCCTTTGTTTCAGAGGCAGCAGTGCAGGGTGCCAGGTGGGAGCTGGTCCGCAAGGGGAGCCAGTTTAAAACCAGCTCCCCTTGCAGACCAGCTGCCTGTTGCCCTGTGCTGCTTCAGCACAAGATGGCAGTAACGCAAGATGGCAGCAGCCCGTCTGGGGTGGGTCTGAGCTCCTGGATCTGGCGTAAGCTGGAACTGAACTGGGCTGTCTGCCCGCCTGGCTCCTAATACATTTTAAATGCAGAGCCACAGCAGAGGTAGATCCCGGACCCAGTGTGAGCCAGGACTGAGCCAGGCTGCCTGCCTGCCCTGTTCCTAATACACTTTAAATGAAAAGCCACAGCAGGGGTAGGTCCCAGACCCTTCGAAAGCCAGGACTGACAGGACTGCTGGCCAGCCTGCTAAAAAAATTTACTGGTGGGGAGAGAGGGGGAAATGCATATACAGTCTCTTCCCGACTTATGAACCAGTTACAGACAAAGCAATTGGTCGTAACTTGGTCTGTTCATAAGTCGGACCCCACAGAGTTACACATGATCGTGCTGTTCGGATCACATTTGTAACTCAGGGTCCGCCATTTACAACAGTTTAGGTCGTAACTGCGAACGGTCGAACTCGGAGGCCGGCTGTAGTCTACAGCAATGGTACCCAACCTGTGATCTGCAGACCCCTGATGGTCCACGACAGTACTGCAGGGGGTCCATGGAAAGTTTAAAAATAAGGATCAGGCCCACAACTTACTTTTGTCTTTCTTTCCTTTTCTTCCTCCACCTAAGGAGGAGGGGCCTGCGAAATTTTAATAGATTGAAAAGAGGTCCATATGCTCAAAAAGGTTGGGAACCACTGGTCTATAGCATTAACCTATAAGCTTTTGCTTAACAGTTAATCGACTGCACTATTACATCTCTAGTTTACAT